CGCCAACCATCAAATGATCCTTTACTGATTAGGAAAAAAAAAAAAAAAAACATTACATCATCAGAGCAAATTGCTCGCCCTTCGAACAATTATGGGTGGAAAACACACGCGAAGTCCTGGCCTGAATTCACCACAGAATTGACTAGGCAATGTAGAATACATCACATTTCTTACTTGGTGTCACAGTTCAAACGAGTAGCGTGTCATAAGCTGCAGGGCACACATCTTTGCATGTTTGTTAAATGAGCACAGAGTTGAAGTGTTAAATCAGAATGAGAACAGAGCTGAATCTTTAATGAGAACAGAGTTGAAGCCCACTGAAGGAAACAAATACGGAGTTGTGCCGATCAGTTTCTTGGGACAAGATGATTATGCATTGAGACCAAACAAATCCGCACGCTCATCACACCAAGACTCCACGAATACACAAAAATTGCTCACAAATCACAAGTTCCAAAAATAGCCGGGCCCAATCGAGAATAACTACAACAAGATAAGTCTCCTTTGTGCTGAGCGGCTGTGCCCGCCAGCGTCCACAGCAACAACACCCAGGTATGGCCTCTCTCTCTCTCTCTCTCTCTCTCTCTCTCTCTCTCTCTCTCTCTCTCTCTCTCTCTGTGTGTGTGTGTGTGTGTGTGTGTGTGTGTGTGTNGTGTGTGTGTGTGTGTGTGTGTGTGAGAGAGAGAGATATGTATGCACACACAAAGTCAATCACGGCAGTGTGTCCTAGAGGATATATGTGTCCGTCTATATCCTGGGTGGAGATCTACACCACGACTTTCCTGGATGTATCTGACCCCAATTACGGAGTGTCCTGGATGTACCCGACCGCAACTCCGTCCAGAGATGAGTCAAAAAAGTCCTACTGCTAATGTGACCGCACCCGCTGAGACTCCCAAGTCTGCATGTCTGTTCCTGAGTCTTAAACTCTATGGTAGATCTGCCGAGTATTGTACTGCAGGAGGAGGAGGAGGACATAGGAGAGCCCGAACAACTGGGGCTGCAGAGAAAATGAGTAAGTCACGCGGGGGGTTCATTCTTTTGACGAAGTACACAGGCGATGATTTTTTTCTGGTTAATTCTCATCATTTCGCGATGTGTGCGTGTCATCCTTGCGCAGGGGTCACGCTAATCCTTCCATTTGTTCTTTTTTTTCTCTCTCCTCTTTTTTTCTCTTTTTTTTTCTCTTTTTTAATCTCTTTTCTCTTTTTTTTCCCCTCTTTTCTCTTTTTCTTTTTTCCTTTTCTTAAAAAAAAACTTTTTTTTTTTTTTTTTAATCCTTTTTGCCCTGGGAGATGGCTCCGTTGCATAGCTGGGGAGCTGCTGGTGACCTGGGGCCATGCTAATCAATCTCCTCTGTATGGCTCCCTTTTTTTGTTTAGCGGATGTCCCGACAGGACAAAACATCATAACCGCTCATGAATGTCGACCAGTGACTAGGCTACATACATACAGTAAATGCTTGAACAGAAGAAGAAAAAAAGTCGAATGGGTGAGAGGTCCCCTTCACATTTTCTTTTTTTTTTTAATACAAAAAATAAAATAAATGTCGTCATCAACAAGGACTGGCATTCGAAAAAAGGTGTGTGTGTACCAGTCAGTCAGCTAGTGATTCCTCCGTCTTCCAACGAATAGAACGCACGGTCATTATCGATGTGTATCTAGACTGAAAGTCGCCCCGAATACCCCGCTATAATGACCGTGCGTTCTAATCGGGGAAAGACGATTGTCAGATCGGATCTCATCGTCGGACAGCCTGCTACGTCACCACTGCTCCCTCCAGGGAACCTACCTTTGTTTATGCACGATCGTTATCGGTCTGTACCTGGACTGAAAGTTGCCCCGAATACAGCTATAACGCCCATGTAGTCAGATCAGATCCCACCATCGTCGGACAACTTGCCACGTCACCACTGTTACTTTTTTTTTTTCCCCTGTTACTTTCTTTTTCCCGACACAAACCACTTTTTTTTTTTTCCCGGACACAAACCACTTTTTTTTTCTTTCCCACGACGGCAACCACTGTAGCTTGCTTGCTGCGAATCTGACATGATCGATGACAAGCTGATGATGTCCTCGACAAGTCTTTGGACCTGCTGGAACTCGCATTGGACCTGCTTGTACTCTCATTGGACCTGCTTGCACTCTCATTGGACCTGCTTGCACTCTCATTGGACCTGCTTGCACTCTCATTGGACCTGCTTGTACTCTCATTGGACCCGCTTGCACTCTCATTGGACCTGCTTGCACTCTCATTGAACCTGCTTGAAGTCGCACTGGACCTGCTGGAACTCGCCTAGAACTCGCATTGCACCAGCTGGACCTAGTGGGCCTCGCATTGGACCTGCTGGACCTGCTGGAAGCCGGATTGGACCTGCTTGAGCTCACAGGGGAATTGGACCTGCTGGAACTCGCATTGGACCTGCTGGAACTCGCATTGGACCTGCTAGAACTCGCATTGGACCCGCTTGAACTCAAATTAAACCTGCATGAACTCGCATTGAACCTGCTTGAACTCGCTCTGGACCTGCTTGCTTGCCGCGAATCGGACAAGAAAGGCGGTTTCCGTCTGGGGAACAACGGTGACATGGCAGGTTGAACTCGCATTGGCCCTGCTTGTTTGCCTGCCTCGGATCTGGTATGATCGATGACAACCCTTACGACGCTGCCACGGATGCTGATGTGACTTGCTGATGACGATGATACTTACTAATTACAAGCCCCGTTCAAAAAGGTCCCGGCTGCAGGCTCTCCCGGCACCGTCCTCCCCTCTCCCCTCCCCCC